GAGAGAGAGAGAGAGAGAGAGAGAGAGAGAGAGAGAGAGCGATGTTTTTCTTCTCCACTGTGATACAAGGGTTACTTAATCTAATCTTCGCGGTCCAAGAGGAGGCGCGCGTTGCTCCAAGAGACGAAGGGTCAAAGCTGAGGAAAATAGGCCAGTTCTTTCTTCTTAAGTGCAGAAGCTTCGTATCCGAATAATATACCATATACCGGCGTATTTTACCCAAACGTAGATTATATTTACACGCACCGATGACATTATCTTTTCTATCGATTTTTTGTACGTTTTTACTCTTGAGATTATTGCGAATAAACGTATATATTATTTTCTTCACATTCTGACCAGTTCTCCTTGCCTGTTTACCTACTTGCGCATCACCTCGTACTCGTGGTCGTTCAGCGTCGTTTCCTCGAGTGCTCTCTCGCGTGGGAAGAACACTGGTGAACGATGGTAAACGGTTTGTCGTTTGATTTCAGTCGAAACTGAACTGCGAAGTTCTGGAGGACAGGCTGGCTTTTGAGGTGCGATGGGCCGTGGCAGGAGACAGCATAGTCGCCCAACTCGTTGGAAAACTTGGTGAGTATATATTTCCCGAGCTGTCCCGCGTGTACGCGGCTCGACGAAAGGGCAAAACTTCCATCGCATTTTATCGAAAACGGCCTCAATTTATACCCTCCGCTCTCTAAGAACCGGCCTCACTTTTAATTAACGATACTTCTCACCTAGCTCTGTCTCCTCTACCGGTAAGTACTACGCACAGTGGTATTTTCAGGAAATCGAAGAGAATCTCTTCGCCACCCTTCGTACGATCTGATCGTTCTTGTGGAAAAATCGACGAAGAAAAATTGCGTTTCACACTCTAATTAACGCAGTGTGGCGGGTTGAACGGGCTGTTTGGTAAATTGGGAACGAACCGAACCTTGGTGCGTTCGCGAATTAATCTCGCGTGAACCACTCGTCCCGTCTAATTAGCCCCGTCTAATTTAGTAGACTTTAAACGGACCGTCAGAAATTTTCCAATAATCGCGAACGTGTCTCCTGTCCACAGATGATGGAGAATACATGGCGTTCGGATTATCCGCGAACCCGGAACGAAGCTTAATGGTCGGCGGAGACGCGGTGGTAGCTTGGGTCGACAAGGAAACTCTTCAGGGCTACGCTGTCGATTACTTTTTCGATTCGAAATCTCAGTGTTCCGGTGGACGCGGTAGCTGTCCAGACACTCGTATACAAGTTGGTTCAGCTATGCGATATTTCCTTTCAATCGTCTATCCGTTTCGTTACACGATCGAAGAGATAGAGCATTTGAATTATCGAACGGCCGTGTACCATTCAATTTACCCAAGTTGAATCGACGCTTTGCAGGAGAACACGAATTCTATTCGATTGTTGAACGCGGCGCTGGTGGACGGATACAGCATTGTCACGTATCAGAGACCGCTCAAGACAAATGACGAACTGGACCATCAAATCCTGACAAACGGCTCACAGGCGATCATCTGGGCCATCGGCCCCCTAAACGAGAGGCAGGAGGTCAGCTTTCACTCCAACTATCTGAAAACCGACCGGTTCATCGATTTCGGTAGACCGCCAGTTTGGAATTGTCCTGTTCCAGACCACGAGAACTCGCAGATACTCGTGGACAACGACGAGAAGGCCAGTGAAAATCAGGTAGAGTAGACGAGAGTCCCGCGTCTCACATTTTTCTTCGCTTTCATTTCAAACCAAATGAAATTAATACCAACTTTCTCCTACGGTACCTGAATCAACGATAATTAGGAACTGATCGCAACCACGAGAAGACCTCAACGAGTTCCTGCCACCCCCGCGCCAGCGTCTAAGACAGACGCCTGGGAAATTCCACCGATCGAGTGCAACGAACCTGACGACGGAGTGCTTTACGCACAGATGGGACCCGCTGGAGGCAAACACGGCTACCCTGCTATCACTGGTACGAAACAGTCTTGGACCAACGATCGAACGTGAAAGTTGCCAATTCTTCGCTTTGCTTAGGTCACGTCGGTTGGGGTATCGCCTGGTACATAAATGGCCTGCTAATTCCGGAGATTAACGTGGTACGCGGGACCAAGTACTCGTTCGTGGTGGAAGGTGGCGAGAATCCGGATGTACAGGCTCGTTATCATCCCTTCTACATTACCGATGATCCTATCGGCGGTTATCAGCACAAGACCCCCGAGGAGAAAGCTGTAAGTCTGTTAATCTGAAGAAACTCGAACGGACGATGTAGTAACGATGCTTCGATTACGAACAGAAAGTGAAGATATTTGCTGGTGCCCAACGTCAACGCGGTACGTATCGACCAACAGGCACTGGACGTTTGTGTAATTGGCTGCCTGATCAGGATCAACCTCTTGCCGACGAATTCTCTTCCTTCGGAGCTTATCAGCGTACGTTGACGCTGAAATGCGACCCCGGTGAACCAGGTCTGGTGGAGTGGACACCAGACGAGAACACACCTGACACGGTGTACTATCAGGTGAGGAAAAACGAAAGCTTCTATCGGAGAGAGAGAGAGAGAGAATCGAATTGTTCGCTGATACGCGTCTACCGATATTCAGTGTTTCACGCATCGCTACCTCGGCTGGAAAATAAACGTCCACGACGCGTGTGACGGCGTGAAACAAGCTGGAAGCGAGACCCACGAGGTCTACGTCGCTCCGTCCAACAATCAACGGCCGTTCGTCGAGGATCTAGATGGCAGCTCGAGCATCCGTGTACCAAGCAAGGTAACGCCAACGGCGGAGTTCCTTCAGCAGCATCTTCATCATCCCCAACCCGGTGAACCCGGGCTTCGTTACTCTTATCATCCAGCGACTAACCCCGGCAAGCTAAGCACACCACACACCCAGCTACTAACGACCGCTAATAACAACAATTACATGCGCTTGAAATCATCGTCGTCGCCGTACGAGGAGCCGTACGCTTCGAGATCTCCATACAGCACGCCAGGTTTCACCGTTGCGCCGCATCGTCACGAGGTACGCGTGAAGGAAACGCATCATCACGCGCACCTCGACGAGGATCTCTTGCAGCAACACCACCACAACTATCATCCCTATCATCATCATCATCATCATCATCATCATCAGCTCGCACCGATCTATCGCGAACAATCAATGGGACCACCGACCAGAATGACCTCCCCTCAGACCTACCCGGGCCGTCAGCAGATCATGGAGATGGAGCCAGAACTCCTTCGACAACCCTCTAACCAACAATTGTCTAACCTCGTTGCAGATAATCCACGACCAATGAGCCATGGGACGAAATACACTTATCCACCTGCTACCAGCCCGCAGATCCTATATCCCAGGCCGGTGCCCCATCATTACGCCACCAATTACCACCACCTTTACCATGTACCGTTCCCCCATCATTATCCTCACCATCAGCCGGAACAGAGGACGCAACTAATGATCGTCAAGAGACCGGTGCTGACGCGTCGTCCGATGTTGCAGACCGTCCACTCGATGCCCCCCCAGTCGACCCTACCCCTACCACCCAGGCCTGTCTTTTTGGAACGAAAAAAGGCCGTTTACAGATCACCCTCTCCCGCTCACGACAGAAGAACGCAGGAAAAACTCTCCCTGAGTATCGAGAATCAGCTCGCCAAGATGAAGAAAATCGAGTCGGCCAAGCCACGAGTCAAGATAGAGGCCAAAGTATCCACTCTGGATATTCCCAATATTTTCACCACTCCCATGAAACCCGCTAGAAACACCGGATTCAATCCTGACTCGATAGTGATAGAAAGTGGGTTCAAACCTATCGTCAGAAGCGTAGAGAAAACCCTAGACGTGGCTCAGAAGAGGCATTCGGAGAAAATGGAACACGAGGAGGAAATTCGGGGGCAGAATCGCAAATCGAACGACAATTTCGAACCGGTATTCATACCTTCGCCGCCAGTTCCGACCGTCGATACGGTGAAGAAATCGAAGAAAAAAATCAGCAACGCGAAATCTCGTCCAGGTGAAGTGGACGACATGGAGATGGCTGCCGACGGAGTGAACGCTTATTACTTGCCTCCTGTTCCCAGTGCGATCTCCAACGACCCTTCACCTCCGTCCTCCTCCGAAGTACTTGTCACCTTCGATGGGAAAAGATTAAAGGACTTCAGTTTGGCCAGGTCTCTGTCAGGAATTGGCGAGCATTCCAAGAGCAAACTGTCCTCGGACAGTCTCAGCAGAACGCCGCAGTTTGGAAAGTTTAAAGGGGAACTGCCACCCCTGATTCCTGGTGATGTTCGATCGGACCATTCTCAGCTGGAGAAACATCGCCTACCTTCGATAGATCAGAAAAACACCAGACTCGCGCCTGTGGGAAGATCGAAGAGATCTCCTCACGAGGGGCACGTACACGTCGCAGATTCTCGTACGAACACCTCTCAAATAAGTTGTTACGATCGTCACGATCACCGTGAAAATTCCACGTCTATGCTCGTCAACGCGAGTCAAACGATGCTAGCTAATTTCGGTTACGTCCTTTTCGCCGTGATCCTTTACCACCTCGTTTGATAAAGTTGCCGGTGCCGAAACTTTTCGTTGCGTAGATGTGTGCAGACCCATTTAGAAATGGTTAGTCGATCGAATCATGTCAGGGACACGTCATCGTTTGCCACGTTCTTTCAATTCAGGAGCACGTCCAAACTGGATCTAATAGACGCGATAACACGGCAGAGGAATAGGTATAACTAACCACAGAATACTGATCCTTCCTTTATTCAGCTATTTATTATCGGATATGCCCGCCCCTTATTGGACGTGTTTAACACCTCTTACAATACCGTTTGTGTCAATTATAAGAACGAGTTAGCTCGATCGCTAATCTGGATCTCCCTCCAACTTCGTAGCTAGAATATATCATTGTTGTAGAGAGAGAGAGAGAGAGAGTTATAGTTGAAGTTTCGAGGTGCAAGAAGGAATAAAGGAGGATTTTATTATTCTACGTGCTATGACGACAGTTTGTTGAATTCTAGGGTATTATATACTTGTACATAAGTTAAATTAACTGTTAATAAAGATTGTATAATGGATCGATCTTTCTTCACTCCGTGTTCTATCCAGTCACCAAGACTTGCTTTCTGTTTTGTTTCTTTTTCTATCGTTCAACGTAGGAACAATTAGACAAAGGACAGCGTCGAGAAAAGATAGGCCGAAGTACAAAAGCATCGCGATACCGTAAACTCGTTCACTCGCTGACTAACTCTCAAACGCATACCAGGAGTCACTCTGAGATAAAAGGGAAAAAAGGTACTTCTCGAACCAGACAAACGACAGACATTAAGCATTATTTTATTGTATAGAAAAAGAAAAGAAACAAATCTTACAAAACAATCAGCACACTAACTACTGTACACGATCGCAGATAGTTATAATATAAAGAGCGTACGAGCGACGATCACGCGGCCGCTAATTACTTTGAAAAACAATTGTCCGCTGATAAACGTGGGTAAGCAACGGGAAACGTTGTGTTGTCCGTCAGCATTCACACCTTCTTAAGTGCTAACGAATCATTTACGCACTCGCGTACTCAACGTACCGTTTAAGAATTCGCTTTTAAGTAACCATCGGTGGCACGCGACGCGATTATTAACAATTTTATCGATCACTCGTGATATCACGCCCAACGATTCGTATATTTCACTCGTTCGGCAATTAAAATACACGAGCAAATTTCTTTCCCAAAAAAAAAAAAAAAAAAAAAAAAAAAAAAGAAAATTAACAAGACTACTGAAAAAGCGCGAATATCCTCGTACTTGTTATTACGTTTATATTGTTATCACGTACCTTGGTTCACGATTTACGTATTTACATATGTTACACGATTTCATTCCTACTTAACGATACAAATTTACTTCGACGTGTCTAACATTGCGCGTTCCATGGAACATTGAGTGTGTCACGATCGAGAGACGACAACGCCCCATTGGAGAACGTACTTCCGGTTCTACAATCGCTTATTAAGAGAGTACGCGTGACCGAGGAAGCTTCGTACGAACGAGTAGAAACACCGGTTGTTCGTTTCCATTAAGTTTATGAGCAAAGATCGTTTTCTTTTTTTCTCTTTCCTTTTTATTACTCAACTTGGAGATTGATCGAGCGATTCGATGGCGAACGAGGAGGAGCTGGAAAGCCTCGTTCCTCGGTGAAACGCAACACGAGTTAGGTACATTGAATAATCGTCCCGTGATTTGTTGAAATTTCGAGTACTTACTATACTAGTCACGCGATACGTAGCTAAAAGATTTAATACTAACGATAACAACACCAAGGATACGTTCTTCAGCGAGGTTGGTTTTTCTTCCACGATCATTTTATCATACGGTATTATATCTTCTTCTCTTTTTTTCTCCCTTAAAACGATGCGAACAGATAAAGGTTTCAATCTGTTGCCACACTACCTCTTCTTTAAGAGTCAACGTTTTCGATCGCCTCATTTTCCAATGAAAACGTGTAGACGGAAAATGTATGATAATCAGTCGAACCGTGTAAGTGTAGCTCGTTTACTATCGTGGCGATTTCGATTTTGCAAATGGTAACGCGATCGCTATATTTCCTCTACGAAAGTACGTACAGTTCTGTTGGCGGAATGTTTCTTCTGAGATACACAAGTTCAACGTAAGTTCTTGCCTCTACGTGTTCCATGGCGATAAAGAAGGGAAGTACTCTGCCGTGAACTTATTTGGAACAGATTATTTTTCTTTCCTTTTTGCATTGAAAGAATATACCTCTATCGTTAGTAAAAAATATAATGCTTTCGTAATCGGTTGTTCCAAATCCGAATGTTACGTAAAATATATGATTGTTCCTTTGTTTACACCGCGACTGAAAGGTAATTACGCGAAAAAGACATTTCTCGTGTGTTCCGAGTAAAAACATGATCTTTCGGCAAAAACCATCTAACTTAGTAAAATAAAACCGTCGGATTCTCGGTGAATCATATTTTTAACAAGATACGCTAAAAAATAAGATTTATCAAAAAGTGTATACCTAGGAAAAATTTCAAACTGCACGCTATTAACTTTATTCGAAAAGAAGAGAAAGAGAGGAGGGGGGGGTGGGGTAGACGCTGTATCAATCTCACTAAACCACCGGTTGATGCCAAACGATCTTTCCACTTAAACAACCGGATACTAGCAAACAATGCCTCGGTGAAAACTTTGTACTGACCACGATGCCAGAATGACTAACGTTCGTCGCCAATTCGTGCAGCTGTACAGACTCGTTATAGGGAGGAACACAATTGGATAATTCGGAACAGTCGCTAGAAAACGCTAACAACCGTACACCGTATCCGAACGGTGAACATATTAACCTACCGTCCACTGAGAAACACAACTCTTTGATATAACCAGATCCAACGTTAGGCTCCTCTATGTAATGCGTTAACCTAGGTGTGTTTTGGTGAATCATACGATTTCTAGGAATCGCGTACATCGTTTGTTGACCTTGCCTGTTTCTATTCTGAACTCTGATCCTATCGCCGATTATGACAACGGTATTGTTGCTCGATCTAGAAAGCCAATCTCTCTCCCTTCGAAGCCTAGCCTCCCTAATCGCCACGTGCGCTTCCCAAACATCTGTAGTACTTACGTGCAGTTCTATGTTACCTGTGGAAAAGTTGTCGGTCATATTACGCGATCTTATGTAGTTCAAATGCGAATTTGGTCGTGGTGGTCTGTAATCCTGCTCGGAATCCCTATCCTGATCGCCTGAACCTTCCTCTTGCATGCCCTCGTGAATGTCCGCCGCGTATATGTACCTATCCTCTTGTCTATCCTCTCTGTCCACGCTTACTCGAGAGTCAGACGAACTAGAACTCGAACTGACTTCGATCGCACCGAAATTCGCTCTGGTGGCGTTTCTATCTAGACGAGAGTTTCTCGATTGTGACCGCGAACCTCTGCGAGATGTTGTCTGCCAGTTGATTCTCGAAGATCTGACCGATTGTGAGTTATCCGAAGGTCCAACAGAGTTTGATCTCGTGTCGGACGTGGTGTGAACTACCCTGACGCGATTGTTCGGACTTTCTATTAAAAAGGATGATGTTATACCGGAACGAGAGGGTTGAGGTTGCTGGAAATCCTCGAATTCGTCCACGGTTACTTCGTTAAATTGAGGCGCTGCCTCCTCGCCCTCTTTTGTCTGGTCCGCTGTACCGGATACGTCGCGCTCCTGTATGTCGTGAACGCAAGTCCACTGGAGCAAACGAACGAAATACAAGTTTAATAGAGATACACAGGAATCGAATGAATCGTATTTATTTGTCGAAACCAACCTCGGATTTCTCTCCGTTGCTGACATTCCTAGACAAAGCACACCATCCATGAGGATGCACCTGTAAGCTAGATATTATCTCGGCGTCATCGCCAACGGGGAAGTCCGTTAAAAACTCTACTCTGTTATGTGCTCGCGAAGGAGAAAAGAGATGCGTGAAACTAGCCACGTTTGGTATCGTAGTTTGAGACGATTGCATTAATCGGTACATGTTAGGCTGAAAACAAAAATCAACCGTAATCTTGCGTGATACAATGTGCGCGATAAGATGGGAAAAATGAAAAAGTCGAACGCACTCGAAATCCTGCCAAGTCTTGGGTTAATGTGCTTAATTTAAGGTTGTGTATAATGATGAGGTATCCAGAAGTGGTACTTATTAACATTTTACTGGCATCTGGACTAAGTCTAGTACGCATCAGTCCATTTGTGTGAAATACTCGAGTATACAGAATACTATTCTCTGTGAAGCTATTAATGTCCCAAGTATATATGCTACCATCAAAGCCACTAGTTAATAACAAACTATCTTTTGAGCTATACTCTATATTTTTAACCCAATTTGAATGGCCTCGAAGGGTTCTTATTCTCTGCTTTAAGTTTCTAGCATCCCAAAGGGCTACAGTGCTATCATCTGAACATGTTGCAAACATACGTTGGTCCAAAAACCTATTGTAAATGATAATCGTTATTACTAAGCAAAGTTTAGACAAAGCATCGACTGAAACAAGCTCTATACATACCTAACACAATTCACACAATCATTGTGAGCATTATCGATCGCATGAATCAACCTCCTTCTCAAAGGATCAAACATTAAGATACTTTTTTTTTCACATGCTGCCAATAACAAAGAACTGTAATGTAACAATAATCCAAGTGTCACTAATCTGCATACTGTTCAAAGAGAAATTCAAGAGTTCACAACATTCACATACTAACCCATCTGGAGAATATTCGAGATTAAAAACTCCTCCGTGGGCAGCAGCAGGTAATGCATGATCCCAAGAAGTTACTGGTTGTATAGAGGAATAAAGGGTTTTATGAAAACGATCAGCATGTCCCAAAGGGAACTTTATACCCAATTCACGTTGCCTTAACCAGAGGCTATTTGCTTGCCTGGATCTTATTTTAGGCATTTCAGCCAGGTGTAAATTTCACCAGCATTCAACCAAATATATTTGACAACTCAAAAATGATCTAGCACTTCGTAAACAAAGCTCAAAAACGTACAATTCGAACACGAAAGTTTACTGAAATATTTCGAATTCTTCTTTTATTTTACAGTGTTAATGATCGTGATCGATACCGTGTTCGGTATCTAAATCGATCAAATTTTTCGATCCCTTCTTCGATAAAAGAAATAACATCGACGTCGATTCGCCAAAATTTTTCCAAATTTCGAAGAAGATCGTACAATACCGTAAAAGACTAAGGTTAAGTGCGAGATGCCACTAGCGGGCAATATTACACGTGACTCTTGACAGATGCCTCCGAGTTTTTTTTCAGTTGACGATCTTCGACAAGGGCGAGAGTTGCGTAAATAACCAACGAAAGTGTCACGGTCGTATGCAATGTCAGACTTCGACAAAATTTAAAGAAACTAAACACCTGACACAACACGAATCAACGCCATCTTTGCTTTGACATACAACGTCGTACGTTGAGGATAGACAAAAACTCACAGGCGCGAGTCTCGAACAAGATTTATATTATACGAGCACTTTTAGACAAATTAGGTGAACAAACAGCTTAGTCCATTGAACATTCCATTCGTCACTCTAACCTTAGTTCATTACTATGTTAAATCGTATCAAATTAGAATCCACTCGAATATGAAAATCCAAAGTTGATGCCCATTAACAGAAAACCGGTCTTACACTACATATAAACGTGCATCGTAATTAACACTTAATAGCACTAATTTCTAATTACCGAATGTATACAGAGATGCGCATTTTGAATCCACTCGAATATGAAAATCCAAAGTTGATGCCCATTAACAGAAAACCGGTCTTACACTACGTATAAACGTGCATCGTAATTAACACTTAATAGCACTAATTTCTAATTACCGAATGTATACAGAGATGCACATTTTTCTTACTATTTTATCTTACTATTTCTTGGACAAAAATGCCAACAGTTTTGTGGGAGTCTAATCTCACGTGCATTTACATGAGACTACGTATTTGTACATTGTACATTAATAATGAGTACGGCCATAACGATATATTTAAAAAATACAATTACTTTACATGTTTCCTTACAGTATTTATACTTAAGATATACACATTTTAATAGATAGTATTCAATAAATAGTTTTTATTCTTCGTTGCACGAGATCACTTCCCTATCGAAGTCGAGGCCACTTCCGCGTAAATGTTTCTCCGTCCATTCATCGAATCTTTCAGACAGTTCCTCGGACATGTAGTTTCTCCAGTCACCAATTTTACCTTTTCTTATAAATTTATCATTTTCAGGAACGTCCTTCTGTGGTAAAATGTGCTCCAAATTTATGGCGGGATTGGCTGCCATCTTCGAAAATTTCAAGTGTTCGCTAAGCTCGGCGATTTGTTCATCGGTCACGGTTTTTCCCAAAAATTTTGCCGTTCTCTTGATCGCCTTCTCTTGATCCTGAAAATTCATCGTTTAACAAATTTAGAAAGTTACTTCTAAAATCACGGATTTGCCAACAGCTTACTTTCTTCATCTCTTCGTAGGTTAAGAATAACACGTTCTCTTGATCTCTTATCGCCCAGAATTTTAAAACGTGGTTCCAGAACGGACCCATCGGCGCTGAAATAGAAAGTAACATTTTTCGATCAATTTATAAACGCATTTCTCATCGATACGTACCGCTGTCTTCCAGACACAACTCGGCAAAATCCTCGAAGCTTCCCGTTATGTTGTGAAATTTTCTACAATAATGATAAAAGCTGACACAGGTATCCTTTGGATTTCTAGCAATGTAGATAATCTGAAACGTTCACAATTGTATTCTACATCTTTTTTTTCCTGCTTTTATACAGTGTATAAAAACTACAATAAATACTTTCGGTTTTTTCTGATGGATTTGCTGCGGTAATAATTCCAAAGGGAGATGAGATTTTACGTATCTGATTCGTGGCATCTTGATTACATTTTCAACCGAATCACCTAATTTCGTGAACCATTCCACGTATTCTCCTGTGACCATCAACGACGAAGCTCTAAATAAATCATTTATTTAAGCAATTCTTTTCCTCCTTGTACAGAAATTCCTTCATAATTTTACACCGAAACTTACTCGAGCAATGGATTACGTATGACCAATAATGTTTGAGCATTTTTGTAATCGAAGTTATTTCCAATACACCATGCCATTTCCTGTGCCCAGTGACTACCTACAGTTTATGAAAAAAAAAAAAAGAAAATAAAATTTAGTCTTATTTTACAAACGGAATTTTAAAAATGCGTCCATTTCCGTAATTTTACCAGTTCGTGGATACGACACCATCCACACGTCGTCCTCGTAAATTTCCATGTCTCGTATTTTAGTGGCGTAAAATACGAAATTGGGCGGCAATAAACAGTGACTCGGTTGCACTCTTAGGAAGCTGGATTTCACGTGGAACATCTTGTCCAGTCTTTGTCCCACATCTCCCTCGATCGTGGTAAAGCTGATAGATTTTTTCTCCACTGAAAACAGTATAATCAATGTAAGAACAGAATCAAGTAATGGTTCGTTTATCTAATCGTGCAAACACTCACTCGGTGTGTAATTTCGTTTAAATAACTGGTATAAAACACTGTACGACCAGGGTCTAGATGCTAATGTATCTGCAGCCTGCAACGGAATGAGAATGCCCACGAGATATTGACATCTGCTCTCTGCTTTCTTTTTTTTTTTTTTTAGTTAAAACAACTTTCTTTTCCAGGACACTTCCGTGTAAACATGCACGTACGTTTGCAATCGCAGTACATAATAATTTCAATATCAAGTGAAGAATAAATACTTGTTATAGGTGGCTCGATAGAAGAAAAAGATTGTTTCTTTGTAAAAGCTAAATATATATCTTTTGAACTCGTTACATTAATTGTTGTATTATAGTACACTTAATTTTACATTTAAAACGATAAAGATTGATGTAAATTGCATCGTATAGTAGAAGTGGTGCCAATTGTGATAGGAAAATGAACAATCTGCACGGAAAATGATTCCGGTGTTATTAACTTTCTCGTTGCAAGAAGTTTCACCTTCGGAGAAAGTTGGTGTATTCTAAGCAAGAATGAACCCGCCATAATAAGTGCACCAGTATGTGTCTCGTAATGCATTTGAATCTTCAGTAATACCATAATTCTATAGGTCGATATATCTTATGTAAAATAGCGAAGAGAAGGAAGTGCATAGTCTCTTCGCTACCATTTATTTCGAATGATAAATAAAGGAAATGAATTTGTTAGATAACCACGATTTGAAATTGAATGAAATTTCATTCGCGCATACGCAAACGGTGTCACGTGATTCAACACCTAATCACGTGATTTATCGTTTGCAGTCTGTCACTTAGGGATATACGGAGCGTTCATATTGTTTTATTTGTTGGTTGATCGTTGACTATGCTGCAAGTAAGTTCGCTTTTTCTCGGCCGAAGTTCACGACGAACGTTGAACAGTTTTGCCTGTTTTTTTACGAGTGCCTCTCTCCATGAGACATTTCTTTTATGTTGCTTGCTTTGAAGAGTGCATTTCATTCATAGTCCAAAAAATATCGAGCTGTGCTTACGCGAGGAAACGCGAGAAACTTCGAATCTCTTTACTTGTGACGCCTTTCTCTTTAACACAGTTCTGTGCATTGCGTTGTGTGGAAATGCCAGTTCATATTGCTATACAAGGTGTTCGACGACAAATGGTACGACTTGCAAGGGATCATTCTAGAAGACGAAATACGACGGAAATGAGGAATAAAATAATTTTGAATTCAGCTTCATTTTTTAGCTTGAAACGATTAAAAATTTGTTTCAGACCTTAAATTTATGGCCTAAAACCATGATGCGCATTAACTTTGAGGACTACTGAACCGCGTATCTAAAGCTGCACCATATTCGCTGATACTACGCAATTTTCCAGGCCCTAGGATCATTTCTAATTGTTTGTATAATTAATGAAAATTCAGTCAAATTCGAAAATGTTTTCTTACTGATTTTCGTTTTGTTTCATCGTCCAGAATTATCTCTTGCAGTTTGTGTTATTTAGTACGGAACACCCTGTATACGTATTCACCATATTGCGAATGTTAATGTTCGAACGTTATATAGGTACAGTTTTTCCTGTTTTTTTTTTTTTTTTTAATTGCTTTACTATGATAAATTATAAATACATATTGAGAAGTGATATTTATTCATTTTCGCTTTTAAACAATAATAATGATCATGGAATTGATTTTATTTTTTCCAGCTCATTAGGGAAACAATGTTAAAAGAATACGATGATTCACCAACTGGGGTGGATTGTGAATTATTATTCTGTATTCTTATGGAAGAATGTAAACATGTCTCACCCGAAGGACACTTATCAATAGAACTAAGAAATTCTTTAGAAAGACATAAAACAACAGTAAGAAAAAAAATTGTGTCAGAGCTTCAGAATGGTTGTGCTCCTTTATTCATTGCGTGCAACAGAGGAATTGTAGAAATTGTGAAATACCTTATAACAGTGTGTCATGCAGATATTGAACAGAAAGGAAGGTATGAGATACCTGATGATCGATCAGTGCATTATGTTACACCATTGTGGTGTGCAGCAGTTTCTGGAAAACTTCCAGTAGTTAAGTGGCTGGTATATTATGGGGCTAAAGTTAATGAACTTTCAGATTCTGGTTCAACTGCTGTGAGATCAGCTTGTTTCATGAGCTACATAGGTAATGTGCTTCTTTAAAGTGTATAATACATACTAACTGCATAAAAATCATATTAAATCTGCAATTGCTCTTCAATGTGATTAATATACTGTACACAAATAATTATATGTATATATATATAACAAAAGTAAAACTGTAGGTAGGTCAATATCAGTAGTTCATTTGCCAAGATCTATACTTAATAGGTGTAATTTTTTAATAGCATGTTTTAAAACATACTATAGGCAAACAAATAGCTAGAGAGAGAGAGATTTTTTCTTTCCCGATTTAACATGTTGCGCGTAGAATACGTATCGTTAATAAATCGAGTATGGCGTGATTGCATTCCGTGTGTCAGGGGTTAGTCGGGTAGGCTGAATTCTAGCGCGTTCCTAAGGTATCCCAGTACCTAGCTCTACTGTGATCTGCCAAAAAATCCCGCAGAGGTTAAGGTTACACAGGTCGTTTGCCAAAAGTTTGCCATTATTCTTGCCGAAAAATAATCCTTCATTTGGTTTACCGAGATCTGTCAAAGTTTCGTATTGTCCGCGAAATGCTTTGGGTTAACTTGGAATGCTGATCAAAAACTCGCCCTTGATTAAATTGTATTGGATTAGCTACATGCGGTAGTGTGCAGCGGCCAGTCGCGCGATACGCCGTAGCGCTTACTTACTGTTTAGAATTTCATCTTAACATTATACTGTAAGACTATAAAAAACATTTTCAAACTTTTTAATATAAATCAGGATTTTTTTTCTCTTTTTTAGATGTTGTTAAATATCTGGTAGAGAATGGTGCTGATATACTTATACCCAATTTTAGTGGTGGAACATGTTTGATAAACTCTATACAGACTGTAGAATTATGTTCCTTTCTCATATGCAGCGGTGCTGATGTAAATGCAACAGATATTCAAAATAAGACTGCCTTACATTATGCTGTTCAGGAGCATAGGCTTGAAACAACTAAGCTTCTCCTGAAGCATAATGCAGATCCTTACCTCAGATCTAGATATAATGATGATGCTCTTCAAACAGCATGTTTAAAAGCAGCTATTGAAATTTTTGAATATTTAGGTAACTGAAATGCAGTCATTGAAAGAAATGTGTGCAATTATTTAAATTTCATCATAACATTATTCATTATATTTTAGTGGAAACAATACCTTATACTCCTGAAAGATTAGCAGATGCACATGAATTAATGGGAGCTACATGTTTTGATGATAATAACAATACTCAAAATGCATTAAAATTTTGGCGTACTGCACTAGATATTAGAAGTGCTAATGCAGTAAATGGTGTTCCTTTACCAAAAAGGCCTGTGCTACCGAAACGTGAAATATACAAAAATGCAACTGAATTTACAACAATAGAAGAACTTAATGAAATTGCACTTGATTTAGATGCTACGAGAATACAATGTTTATTAATATGTGAAAGAATTTTGGGTCCACACCACAAGGATACGTTATTCCGACTAATGTTTAGAGGAGCTTTGTATGCGGATGCATTCATGTAATTATGTATATGTATATATACCTATATGAAAGTTTTATAAAATTTTTATCTTATTAAATTCACGTCTTTGTATTTTATTTGTGACAGGTATCAAAATTGCATCGATTTATGGCACAGAGCATTAGAAATTCGGGTGGAAAAAGATTCGGTAATTTAATACCGTTTGTAATAGTATCTATTAAATATTTGTTTTCTTTTTTAACTGTTATATTTGCAGATTTTACATGCAGATACGTGTTATACTGCTCGAGCTCTTATAAGACTCATGGTTGAATTAAACGAGAAAACGTTAGAGGCTGTAGATCACAATCAAGATAAAGAAAAACCCAGGTTTTGCGATGTAGTAGCAATATTTAAATTACTTACGAGTCAGTTAATAGAAGCTAAGGAACTCTTGGAGGTAATTGACAGTAAATATAATTTATATAATTACTTACTATTCTTATTTTATACAATAGACTTATTTCATTATAGAAACGGCCAGTACATAAGCGACAACGAGAGAGCTACGAACGAATCTTAAAATGCGTGACATATCTCATTTACTTATTGGTACAAACGGGAACATCAGACGAGGAAAAGGCACTAACCAGAAAATTAGTCCGTAATTTAGTTAAACAAGATCCTAGGTCCGCGTACACGGAAGATACGTTGTTACATTTTTGCGTTTGGAAAACGAATACTGTTAGTTCGTGATTTTTTCTGTTAATCCTGGTTTCCTTGTATGGAATCCATATATAAATTATACCAAATATAAATAAAATATGAATTCCCTTTGCAGACAATTTTTCCTCATTTAGAAGTTGTTCGGTTACTTTTGGAATGCGGAGCAAATGTTAATGCGAGAAATGAATGGCGGTCAACACCCCTGCACATAGCAAGCGATCCATATAATTTTCAAAATTCGGTAAATATTTCGATTTACTGTTACAAGTAAGTCTAGAAATTTAACTATTCGATTGTTCATTGCTTACAGATAGTAAAATTATTGCTGGACTATGGTGCACATTTGGATATACCAAACAAAGCAAGAATAACTCCGTTGCAGTTAATATCCTCTAATTCAATGAACACCGTGAACCTTATGAAGTATATTACTCTTCGATGTTACGCTGCCCAAGCTATTTTGAAATACGGCATTCGCTGTAGAACAGACACAGATGTGCCTGAAACACTGTACCAATTTGTGGAATCTCATAGAGAATAATGAATAGTAAGTGGAAAATGTACATTCACATTTCTCCTTTCAATCACTTATAGAACAAAATTCAATTGTAAAAGACGCACCAATGTTTACTACACAAATGTATATACGTATATATATATAATATTTTTCCAAAGCCAGCTTAAAACAAACGTATAAGGATATATCGATTACCTTAAAAATGATAAAAATTTTCCAAAAACAGATAGTTCTATATCCGATACGATTAAGTTTCTTATACTTTGGCACGATCTTACGTTTTATGGAGGAAGGTAATATTTTTGAAACAGACATTTCATCTAGGACGATGAGTAATTGATTTAAAAAATGTAAAAATGTCGAAGTACCCAACTTGAGAAGACTGGTTTAAATAGAGGCGTTTTCATAAGTTTTATGTTAGATATTGTAATGTGCCACTTTCTTCAATATCGGTTTACTTTGTACATAAATCATTAGCTGGGACATCTTATAACGTTAGATCAGTCTAAGAGGATTGACATTACATTGTAAGTGTAACTTTTAAGCGATCGAAAATTTCGAATTATCGAGTAAGCTTTTTTCACTCTCATTTTACGAAAAAGAAATGTTATAAATAATAATAATACGAAGCGCCTAAAGATCCGTGAAATAAAATATAAAAAATGTGGCTATCAATTTTAATGCCAAAGATGTACCATATTTGGACATTGCCATACTGTTACAGTAACACGCATTCTTATAAAATTCTTGGAATTATGGAATGGAAGAACAAGTTTAATGTAAGAATATAACATGTTTATATGTATTAAGAATATTTTTCGGTATGTTTTGCTATAATCTATTTATTCACTTTAGAAAAAAAAAAAGAAACATAAAATATCTAAATTTGTAAAGTGCAAAATATGTAAGTACAGACATATTATGTAGGCACTGAACAACAAACGTTTCATTTTCGAGACATATTCACCGGTTTACACAGAACTTAGCACGATATTTCTTATCTCACAAAAGCGAAACAATCTCGAAATATTATATTGCAATAATAATACTTATAAACTTATCACACAACTGAAGAGCGTTACTTATTAATAAAAAAAAAGAACAATGATTATTTTACACATCTAACGTGTTTTTAGTTTTATACGCACACTCGATTGATCTCTTCCCGATTTTGATTCATTTATTACGTAGGAACTAGACATTCCGTACTTGTCGTGATCGAATCTCTGTCCTCTCGATCTATTCACTAAAATCAGTCATTTCATGTTTGCATAGCAAGAAGGTACGACTAATCTTAGCAATTTACTCATATATCTAGCTTTATAACAAATGAAAAAACACAGCCGTTATTCCGACGAGTAACGATAATTCTCGTACAGCCGCGATGTTTCTCGAGTAAGCATCCACTACGTGTATTTTCCAGCCCATGTTTGCATGGGTAAACGAATTATAGTACACGATATCTGGCCACGAAGAGTTCGGTGTAACTTCTAAGACTCCACCTTCCCCTACGATCGAGAAATAAAGCAATTCAACGCATAAAAGAAACAGACATTTTTTTATAATGCCTTACCTGGTTCACATGTGCTCAGTAACGTTCTGTTAAATTGTCTGAACGTTGTAAAGTCATCGTCCAATCTTCGATCTCGATCGTTATGTTTGCTCAAACAAAGTGGTCCAACTGAGAAATCAACGATTAATTCTTCTTTCTTTTTTTTTTTTAGTAATACACATATAATTGCAATATTTGACGAACCTGCAGTTGGTCTCGGTTGACCTCTCCTGGTGAACTCTACGCCAGCCAGAACTCTAATTTTACTCTGCGCTGCATCACTGAGCTTATCGTATCCACCGTGTGGTTCATTAGTTATGATCAATGGGTGATACAAATTCGGGCTATGAGGATTGTTTCCTCCATGAATCCGGAAGTTATAAGTTAATCCTCTACGCAGGTACAATTCGGGTACCAATTGGCCCTCGATATACCACGCTAAACCTGTAGAGGTTTGTCCTGCCAAACATGGGAAATTATTATACCGTTTGACATGAAATATCAACGTTATAATATCTTTATCAAACCTGTAATTCCTTGGTAACCCTTTTTGCCTCCAGAAGGACCAATCGTGGCTTTAAATGTTCTAATACTTCTGTCGAATATCTCTGCCTTCTCCCAAGGTTCTCTGATGAAGTAACATTCACAATTATAGCTATTTATACAATTATAGATCAATAATCACCACTTACATTAGCTTCTCGTTATTTTCTGTGAAATCCATGCATGTATTCTCAGGCTCCGAACGAGCCAATTCTAATTTCAGATCACTCTTTGGGTATACGTCGTGGAAATTAGGCTCTTTCTTCTCGTCCAATCTTCCCAAAGCCCATACCACGTAAATTGGCCGATCTGTTGGATATTCCTTATCTCCTGGATCAGCTGTAATCCATAAATTAGCCAGTGTAACTTGTGTATCTCTCTTTCTTTTCTTACTAAGGCTTAACCGGTAACTTACACGAAGTAAGCATACGTCTATAAGTGATAATATTAATTCCATCTTCTCTCACAGCAGTATACAACTGGTTATTATCCTGACCACCGAATAATTCGTCCCTACAGACTCCTTTGTATTGACCAAGCACCTTTCCACACTGTTCACAGGATAAAAAATGAATGAATTCAGCTTGGAGTATGTTTATCTGAGATTATTTCCATTTACACACCGGTGCTTTCGCGGTGATATTATAATCTACAGCGTAGCCTCTGGTGTCGTCGATATAAGTAACCGCAACATCCGCGCCTTCCATTTGGCTAGAAGTTTCGGAACCAGAAAGTCCAAAGGCCATATATTCATCCTCGTCTAAGCACAATTAACACGATATAAGAGAGAAATAACGGAAAAGGGACCCTGTTGTACTCACTGACTTGGCCAGCTAATTGCACAGTGATCTGCGGACCGAAGATCTCCCAGCTGACTTGAAATCGTTTGTGAAGTTGAACACAATTCGGCAGAGGATTCGTGTGCTTGATCACCTGTACTTTGATGGATCGATCAGTGGTACTTTTAGTTCTTACTCCACGAATAGCGAGAAATTGAAAGAATGTATTACTTTTACTAGCGAAGGGGGTACGTTCAGTCCATCTGGAATGATAACAGAGCCGTAGTTGGACTTGGTCTTCACGTCGAACACGCTCAACCAATCGATATTGAAGACTGTCAGGTCTCCAGGTAGTTGAATAATCACGTCTTCCTCTTTGTAAGCACGAAGTGCGTCCAGGCTAATAGAAAACGATAAAAATACTCGTTAAAATTGAAAAATTTGTCACTTATTAAAATACTTTCATTGGATTACTTACTAGCCATACTCGTCGGGGATCTTCGTCCCTTTGCTGGAAGGTTGAGGACCAACACCTACCCAGAAATAAGTGTCTACTCCCAGTCCATCGTACGAGAATTCTGGAATTTTGATAGTTTTCGAGTCCATGATTATTATAGGCTCAGAAGACACTCCATGGGATCGTTTCGTCAATTGAGAGATTTTCTGTGGTGTTGGTGGATCGAATTCTTCGGGAATATATACATCTCCGAACGTATTCTAAGTAAAATATCATAGTTAACTCGAGATGATCGCACATACGAAAAAAAGAGAACCGTAATTAATATAAAATACCTGGCTTCCCAGATCGTACACAGCAAACCATTTTACATCGGTTATTTTCTTATTGTCCGGTAGAGTGAGAGTGAAATCCTTGTTGAAGTATCGATCGAGGATATTCGTTCTGAAAGAAACGGTGTATTTTAATCTCTCATCTCTCCCGTACCTCGTTTCGTATCGTATCGAGATGAACTGACTTGCCCCATTCGTCTGGCAAGATGAAACCTTGAGGGCCGGGCCGATTGGACGCGCCAGCCCAAAAGAAAGTATCAGCTCCGTTTCCATCGTAGCTGAATGAAGTGAGTAGCAACGTGTACTCGTCGACCACGTAAACGTCACCAGATACCTGATGATGATACGCGTTCAACTTTCCAAGGTACTTGCCCTTGTATTCCTCGCCATCTGACTCGGCGAAACCTGTGGATTTCATTTGACCGTGAGTCATGCACCGATTAAAAAAAACGAACTTACGAATTACTCGGATGTTCTTTGTTCCGAATCACGGTCACGAGAGAAAACAGAGAAAACGAGATCGCTGCTTTCATATTCGAATTGCTGTCATATTTATAGAAACGGTGACACGTTCGTATATAATTAATCTATCGAATACGTGAGAAATTACCGAGAAGTTATCGTAATTTCGTTTGACAAGCGGAGACTTGAATGCCTTTATTTCTCAACTGTTTTCCGTTGAAAAAAACCCAGTTTCCTTATGTCATCGTTCGCCTTGGGTAACGTACTACGTACCGTAAGCAGGAAACAGCACGCATGCCAAAACTGTCACAAGAACACGCGATATCCACCTCCTCGTAACATCTGCCATCACTTCATCTTTCTTCGATTGACGTAAACACCTCAGCACTTGCTCCTGAACGATCGTACGTCGGTTTCGTCGTAGCCAAGATTCATGAAAAAACGAGTACCTACTCGATGGTAAATCAAGCGATTGAACGTTTAAAAAAGAGCGAAAGGCACGCAGCGACTCTAATGGCTGACGCAGTTCCGACTTGTTCTGGGCAACGTCTCTAGAAAGTAGACTTTGACTGGTCGAAAACGGTTAGTACACCGCTCTCCAGCCACCTTGGCACGTGTTCCCGCCTCGAAGAGAAAGTGTACGCGGTCTCGAAGTGCCTTCGAACGCGAAACGACGTCCACGAATGAATGAGCCTCACGGAGGGACGGTGTCACTGGACTCTTGTCCTTCCGGTGCTCACTGTAATAAAGAAGTCGTCGGGTGACTAGTAGCATCTGTTCGGAAGATTTCTTCGTTTACTGTTTATGACTGGTTCGATTAATCTTCTGGAAACACCTGTTTGGATTCGTATTTACGTTGTTCCCGGAATTTGATTCTACTCTTAAGGACTTTTAATATGTACTTGATGTTCCTTATTATTCTGGAATTGAGCAACCTTTTAGCTTGTTTTAATTCCTCGAATTTGGTTCTGTTGTTTTTTATAGTATTCAAGTTTTATTCTTGCTTTTTTAAATATTTAACTGTAATTTTTGGAAATCGCATGTTTGTAAACGATGATAGAAGAAATGTCACGAAGAAGCCGAAAATATAAGTTATATTTCAAGGAAGGAAATCGAAAATTTCGAATTTTTAGAGTGATTCCAATAGTCGAAACATCGATGTTAGAGGTAGAAAATTTCGAAGATATTGTCTGGCAAAGCAAACTTTAGGTTTTAAACTGGTTGTAGGGTCTAAAGGCGAGAGAAATATGTAGGAGAAGTTGAGACGTCTTCGCTATTATAATCCAGCCAGTAGCGATAGAAATAAAGGCTATTATCTCAATCACACAATATACACGGCCTTTACTGATAGTCAGCTAATTGACAATAGGAGGAAGAATCGAAAGTATCATCAGGTTAGTTTTTGTTTTTAAAGTAGAAATTCTTTGAATTTTTCCCTTTTAATTAAATAATGCAAGGAGCGTAGAAAAATTTGAAGGGAACCAGCTAGGAATCGAACCCACGATCTACGGGTTGGGAAGCCGGGACTCTACGCTCTCAGCCAAGGCGCCCGCTCGATTTCCTTGCTGTTATTTACTCCTTTTTTGAGGCACGGAGGCCCCGATCCCACAATAGTCATTCTAAATTAGAACAAATGCATGTAGTGAGCAATTTAAAATTGATAATAATGTAGATAGTAAAATAAATTTTCTGCTTTATTTTCAACTGCTTTAATTATAGAATGAACACTGTTTCTCGTTAAATAACAATTTAAATGGTAGTATATAATTATTGGAAGTGTTAAATAAATTTGCTGCACGATATAACTTAATAAAACAACTTAATTTATTAATTTCGTATTGAATTAACAATTGCACGCAGAAGATTAGTTAGAAATTGTTTACAACTTTTATTGAAAATCGAGAAATTGATGTTCTTTTTATGCGAATTACAGGATTCAAGGAAAGGACTTCGACGTCTGAAAAAAATTAAGAAATGCAATTATTTGTCAAAAAATCAATTATTTATTGTAAGATAATTGTGCAAAATGTATTTTACAAAAGGTTACGATATACCAGTATTGTTGCAAGTAGTGCAAGTCAAGCATTTCTCAGACGCTCGAAATTCGGAATCAGCAAGTAGTGTAAGTCGATCATTTCCCAGGCATCCAAAAATTTTTCGAGCTCGCAGAAATCCCAAAAATCACCCAGAAAACTTGGAAAATTGCCAGAAAATAGCGTGAAAAATACAGATTAAACAGTAATGCATCTAGCTTCGAAATTTTCTATCTCCACGTCGATGTTTCGACTTGGTCTCGCCGAATGTTTGATCGATTTAGAGTTAACGCAAACGCAAAATGTAGGGCTCTCGTATCTGGAAAGATGTCGAACGCGATATTTCGTTCCGAAAGAAACGGTAAGGCACCAGTGGATGCTGTAGAATTATCATTGATCAAATTATATCTCGTAGATTCGGTCGAGGAGAAATTTATGTGGATTCTTAGGTTCGCCACCGTCAGACAAATTAGAGACTTTCTACTGAAAAAGTAGGTATTTAAATTTGCATCTCTTCAACGACGTTATCGTTGTCGCAATAATTGCAGTTCAGCGATAGGCTTGCACTATCCTACGCCAAATTTGAAAACACCTGTAACAGCAGCCATCGATCGTGGTGATCCTCAAATCTTGTCACTTCTATTGTGCAAAAGTTCCACGAATTTGGACGACACCCTTACTCAACCTTACGGA